GCCAAATAACTCCCTGAACGGTCTCTCCAATATTTCCACCTTCACACTTTTCCCAGGAAGTTGTTTTATTCCTTCCATAGCAATTAGCAGCCTAAAAGTATCTTAATTGTTTTTTTTTTCTTTTTCACTTACTAGAATGCAAACATTCTGAGAGCAGGAAACTCCTCTAAAAATTTGTTGCTGTATCTTCAGTATGTAGGACAGTTCCCTTTCAACACATTCAAAGCCATTTCTTAACAAGTGTCTTAAATAAATTCTTCATACTTAAGGTATGCAAACAAATATATTTGCACTTCCAACAAAATGAAGAGGTGATAATATCACATTTTTCCTCCATCCTACCTTTCCATTAATTGTTCATGTGTCACCTGAGTCTGCTTCTAATTTCTCCTTGATCCTGGAAACTCTCTTTCATGACATCTATTCATGCAGCACTCAGGCTACACCTCCTCTCCCTTGGGCTTCTCTCACAAACTCCTTAAATAGGTGTCTTTCTTTCTCCTCTTTCCCCTCCAGCTTCATTTTATACATAGGGTTATTTCCAGGGCACAGTTCTGAAATACTGTATGATTGCTGTTGGGTTGAGTGCCTGAGCATGAGGGATATGAGAAATAGGTAGAGAAGACATTATCTCTGATGTACATATGACAAGAAATGCTTGTATTATATCAAGAAGAACCCCAGGTATATAAAACATATTGTGAGTGAATTTTCAAGACTGGCCATAACAAACACACACACACACACATACATACATACACACATACATACATAAATCACAAACAAAAACAGAGAATTTTAAAAGGAAAAAACTATTTTTATTGAGAATAAATTTTTGCCCAACTGAGATGTGAAGATTACTGGCACAGTCACAACACAGAATCCAGATTAAGGGAGTATAGAGCAACTTTTGGAAATGGTCAGATGATACCACATAAACTCAAGCCATAAGTCGCCATCCTAAAAAAATGTTCACTGGAGGACAAAGCCTCTGTCAAGTATGCAATTTCCTACACATAGAAATCTTGGATTTGGAGGCTTGAATCAGCTATCCCACTAAATGTATCCTTTCAGAAGTAAATGGGGCTTGGAGAATGATGGTCTAACAGCAAGAAGAATAACATCTTCTGTAGCAAAGGGGCCGGTAGCCCCAGCAGCCAGAGCCATATCCACATCCATAGCAGGAGCCTCTTCCACAGCCCCATCCTGAGCCATAGCCACAGCCACAGCCATAACCTGAGCCATAGCCACAGCCACAGCCATAACCTGAGCCATAGCCACAGCCATAGCCAGTTCTATAACCACAGCCAGAATAGGGGCCACATCCATAGCCATAGCCACATCCGCAGCCATAGCCACAGGAGTTCCCGTAGTTGCAACACATGTTGTCAGGAGAAGAGAATTCGGGTGGTTTGCAAGTGGATGTGGTGAAGTATGGTCCCTACCTGCCTTGGACCTTTATATACTGTCAGTAATTGGCAGAGCATGCCATTCATTCCTTGACTTACCCAATAAATATGTAAGCAACTGTGCTGTGACAGTCACTGTCAACAATCATTTATGTCTTTGGGAAAGTTAGTTCATTATTTGGAGTCTCCTGTTTTATTTAAAGAGCAGCATTTTAATTCCCTCTGCCAAAGAATTGTCTCAGAATCATGTGCTCTACATACCACTGAGACCCAACTTCACAACCTATCATTTAATATAATTTTTATAATAGGGTTGGGGGAATTTAGGATAATTATATCCCTCCTCATTTCTCATCTTTCCTCAAAAATCTACTTCTGCCCATACTGGAGGATGTAACTACTATCTCTTTTCTGGAATCCTTGCAACTCATACCAGGCTTCTCAAAACCAGATACCTACTTCAGATACCTACTATCTCCTTGTAGTAGAGAGGAAAGAAAATGCTAATCTTAGGGCACAGAACAGCCCCCAACAACACTGAAACATTGAAACATCTGATATGAAATGTTAGTAGTGCTGAGATCTAGAAACCTTGATGTGTAGCTTCACAACAATAAATTAGGTTTTCTCTTTACTGGTGTCTAATTCCAAATATTCCTTTCTTCTCAACTAAACCAAACATCTAACCTTTCTGTCCCTTAACATGCACCACACACACACACAAAAAAGATAGAAAGGTGTTATATGTTTGTTTGTGATGTTTTTGTTTATCTTGGTTGTCTAGGTTTACCTAAATCACCAATTTCCAAAATAGGAAGAAACCAAAAGTTAAATCATTTTTTTTTACTATAACTATGAAATCCAAGTTGGAAGGCAATACAAACTCAGAAAGATCATATCTTCTACTCAACACTCAAATTTCAACAACAAAAATGAAATCCATTCAGCTCTTTATAAAAGGCCTTCAATGGGGATTTTCATAAAGCTTCTGAATCCTTTTTCTCACTTTCATTATTACACATTTTTCCTTCAGTTGAAAATATTTTTGACTAGTTTTTCTACCATTGGTTACTAGTCTGTCTTATCTCTCTGTTTCATCCCTAAGAAGTTTAAGAAAAAATATACCCCATTCCAGTTGTTCTTTACCCTTATTTTCTTTACTTTTCCATCAACTCTTGAAATTCAAAACTATAAATTCTAGTACATGAATTCCCTCAAGTAGACATGTTACTTTCCAAACCCCCATCTTCTGGTCACAATATCCCTAAACTACTGAAAATTTTTTCTAGCTCTATTGCATAATGAATAATACCTTTCCATTCAGATGTCAGGATACTGATCCATGATGGCAGAAAAAAATTATTATTCTGTGCATCCGGAATTACCACTTAGTTCTAAGTAGCATGGCCAGTACATAATTTGAACCCAACACTTCCCCAATAAAAAACAGATGCATTAAAACAAATATATGTTCTAAGGTCAGTGTGGCCCTTAGAAACTAGAAGATATTTGGATACATTATCACAATGTTCTCATTTCATGCAAGCTGAAAGTCTCAAATGTTCTTTGAGTCTCTAATTTCACATTTTGAAGATATGTGTTAGCTTATGAAGACACTTATCTAGATGTACAAATTATCTTATATGCCTAATAAATGATCAACCCTTTACTGAATATAAATTACAACACAGATACCAAGTTGATGATACTCTTCTGTCTTTCAAATCCTTCAAGTACAAGGAACATAATGAAACACGAGTATATTTTCAACAAACTGTAATTATTAGAATTCCCTTCCCTTCTATGTAGGATTTCCCCATCTCAGATTTCCTCAAGCACAGTCATTCCCTAGATCCCGCTAACAGATATTCCATCTGTGAACTGTCCAAACGTTGAAGAACCCCTGTTCCTTCATCAATAGGACATATTATATCCTGGGAATAGCCTTACTGTAGGGCTGACTTGAATGGCAGAGCCATCTTCCTTAGAATTGGCCGTTTGGTGGACTCTCCTCACTTCTAGCTGACCTCAGACTCAGACTTTATGCAGTGACCCTTGTCATGAAGATGAGACAGAGACTCATTTATCTTTCATGGTGGAAATCGAGTCTGAAAAGTCATCTTCTATTACAAGATCTAAATGTGAGAGTTCTGGAAAGTCTCATGAGGAAAGGACACTGAAGTCAGAACCCAACAAACTAGTTGAGTCTCAAACTCATAAAGCCAACCAGACATTTTCATCCCATTCTTATATATTCCCCGAACAAAGTGAGCCCATTTAAGGAAGTAGGCCTCCTCTTTTCCACAAAAATTGTGGCACCACTCATCATCCCTAAAAGTTGATGCATTTTTCTTCCCTCTTCGTACTTATTACCTTCCTTGCTAGTATTTCTTATAACAGGCATCAGTTCATTTGATGCAAAATGCCAAAATACCTCCCTGAACCCTCTCTCCAATATTCCAACTTTCAATTTCTTCCCCAAGAAGCTGCTTTATTGCTTCCAACGCAATTGTCTATCTAAATTTAATTATTACCTTTTTTTTATTATCACCTGTTAGAATATAAACACTCTGAGAACAAAAAACTCATCTGCAACTTTATAGTATATAGCATAGTTCCCTTTCAAAAACATTCAAAGACATGGAAAGGGACACCTGGGTGGCTCAATCAATTAAACAACTGCCTTTGACTGAGGTTATGATGCCTGGATCCTGGGTTAGAGCCCAGCATAGGGCTCCCCTCTCACTGGGGAGTCTGCTTCTCCCTCTCCCTAGCCCCTTGCTCACTTGCTCACTCTCACAAATATTAAATAAAATCTTTAAAAATAACAAAAATAAATAAGCATACAAAGAGATGGGTGTCAGGGTGGCTCAGTCAGTTAAGCATCTGACTCCTGATTTCAGCTCAGGTCATGATCTCAGGGTCATGAGAATGAGCCCCACATTGAACTCTGTGCTCAACTTGGAGTACTTAGGAGATTCTCTGACTCTCCAGCTTCCACTAGCCCTGCTCATCCTCTCTATATAAATAAATTTTTAAAAAAATTCCAAAGCTACATATCATTAAGTGACTAAAATCAAATTCCTAAACTTCATATACACAAATATTTTTGCCCTTTCCTCAAAATGCACATGATATAATTCCACCTTATTCTTCTAATTTATCCTTTCCTTAGTTATTCATGTGTCACCTGAGTCTGCTTCCAATTTCTCATTAATCTCAGAAATTCTTTTCCATGCCATTCATCTGTTCAGCACTCAGGACACATCTCCTCACCCTTGGACTTCTGTCACAACATCCTGAATAGGTGCCATTCCTTTTCTTTCACCATCATCTCAGTTCTACATACATAGTGGTTTCCAAGGCATGGTTCTGAAATACTGTATGATTTCTATTGGATTCTGAATGCCTGTTCATGAGGGATATAAGAAATTGAAGAAGAAGACATTACCTCTAATTCATGTATGAAAAGAAATGCTTGTACTATGTCAAGGAGGAACCCCAGGTTTAGGAAACATATTGCCAGCCCAATTTTCAAAAGGGGTCATAACACCTCAAAAAAGGAATAATTTATAAACAAGAACACAGAGATTTGTTAGAAGCAAAGAACCATTTTTATTGAGAATAGCAATTTGGCCAATTATGGGACATTAGCATCTCTGGCATAGTCACAACACAGAATCCAGATAAGAGAATAAAGACTAACATTTGGGAAACACTCAGATGATGCTACATAGCCTCCAGGCACAAAAATGTTTACTGAAGATCAAAACCTCTGTCAAGCATGCAGTTTCCTGGAGGTAGAAATTGTGGGGTTTGGATCCCTGAATCAATTGTCACTTTAGATGTGACATTTCAGAAGCAAATGGTGCTTGGAGAGTAATGGTCTAGCAGCAAGAAGAATAACATCTTCTGTAGCAAAGGGGCCGGTAGCCCCAGCAGCCAGAGCCATATCCACACCCACAGCTGGAGCCTCTTCCACAGCCCCATCCTGAGCCATAGCCACAGCCACAGCCACAGCCATAACCTGAGCTATAGCCACAGCCATAACCTGAGCCATAGCCACAGCCATAGCCAGTTCTATAACCACAGCCAGAATAGGGGCCACATCCATAGCCATAGCCACATCTGCAGCCATAGCCACAGGAGTTCCCGTAGTTGCAACACATGTTGTCAGGAGAAGAGAATTCAGGTGGTTTGCAAGTGGATGTGGTCAAGTGCCTTCTCTACTTCTCTTGGACCCTTATATACTGTCAGTAATTGGCAGACCATACCATTCATTCCTTGACTTACCCAACAAATATGAAAGCAACTTTCATGTGACAGTCACTGTCAACAATCAACAATGTTTTGTGAAAAATAAGCTCATTATTTTAAGACTCTCATTTTATTTAAAGAGCAGCATTTTAATTCCCTCTGCCAGAGAATTGTCTCAGTAGAATCATGTGCTCTACATACAACCGGTACCCTATTTCCCAACTTCCTATCATTACGATATCTTATATAACTAACAATGTTGGTGGAATTTAGGAAAATTTTGCCAGTCTTGATCTCTGCTCATCCTAAAACATCTACCTCTGCCCATGGGGTGGGGGTGGGGGAATAACTGCCATCTCCTTTCTGGAGTTACTGTAACTTTTTTTCAGGCTTCTTGCATCTTGGATACCTACTACAGATACCTGTTGGCTCCTTATGGTAGAAAGGAGAGAAGACGCTAATCTCAGGACACAGAATAGTACCCCAAACTGTGAAACATGTAATATAAAATGTCAATATTGCTGAGATCTAGAATCCTTGGTGTGTATAGCTTCACATCAATAAATTAGGTTTTCTCTTACTGGTGTCTAGTATCAAATATTTATTTTCCAAATATCCAATCATTCCATCAACATAAATTAATCAAAAATGTAGAAAGAAAGAGAAAAACAAAGAAATGAACCAAGAAAAAACTCTTCTGTAATTTGTTTGGCTATTTGTTGTTATTGTTGTTTTTGTTTGATTTCTTTTTTTTTTTTTGTTATCTTCATTGTCCATTTTCCAAATCAAGAAGGATCCAATATTTAAAATACTTTCTTTATAACAGCTATGGAATCCAAATTGGAAGGGAGTACAAACTAGGAAGATCATTCCTTCCTCTCCACACTCAAATTTTAACAAGGAATTGAACACCATCCAGTCCTTTATTAAAGATATTCAACAGGAATGTTCATAATTCTCCTGAAATCCTTTTCTGAGAACTATCACTATTAGACATTTTTCCTTCAGTTGAGAGTATTATGACTCATTTTTCTACAGTTGGACACTGGTCTACTTGATCACTCTGTTATGTTTCATCTCTAACAAGAAACTTAAAGAAAAATACATGCCACTACACATGTTCTTTATTTTCTCAACTTTTCTGTCAACTCTTGAAATTCTAATGCACAAGTTCCCTAGAATAGATACTTTGCTTTTCAAACACCTACCTTCTGATCAAAATGCCCCTGAACTACTGAAAATGTTTTCTGTCTTTATGGCATTATTTGTAGTACCTTTCCATTCAGATTTCTGGGTATTGAACTATGATGGCCGAAAAAAAAAAATCTCTTCTGTGCATCCTGAATCACCACTTAACTCAAAGTAGAGTACCCAGTGCAGAATTTGACCTCTATCAATACTTCTGTCACTAAAAAAAGGGTACATTAAAACAAAAACATGTTCAAGCACTGTTGTGCCAGTTAGGAGCTATAGGGTATTTGGATACATTGTCACAATGTTCTCATTTCATTTATGCTGAAAGTCCCAAATGTTGAGTAAAAGGTTCACAAATTTCATAATTTGATTATGTGTTAGTTTATTTTTTTTAATTTTTTTTGTTTATGATAGTCACACACACACACAGAGAGAGAGAGAGAGGCAGAGAAATAGGCAGAGGGAGAAGCAGGCTCCATGCACCGGGAGCCCGACGTGGGATTCGATCCTGGGTCTCCAGGATCGCGCCCTGGGCCAAAGGCAGGCGCCAAACTGCTGCGCCACCCAGGGATCCCTATGTGTTAGTTTATAAAGGCACTTTTCTAGTTGTATAAACTATCCAATAGTCCTAATAAGTGATCAGCTCTTTACTGGGTATATAAATTATGATATTCATGCCTAATAGATGATACTCTGCCCTCTTTCAGAAAGCCTTCAAGGACAAGAATCATAATAAATTAGTTAAGTAAATTTTAAATAAAATGTATTTTTTTAGAATCCCATTCCCTTGTTTCTAGGATTTCTCCCAACTCAGATTTATCCAGAGCACAGTCTGTCCTCAGATCTGACTTATACATATTCCACCTGCAGAAACTGTCCAAATCTTGAAGAATCCCTGTGGTTTTTTTTTTTTTTCATCAGTAGGACACATTATATCCTGGGCATCAGTAGGACACATTATATACTTTAGGGGTTCTTTCAAGATTTGGACAGTTTTCATGAGTGGTATATCTGTAAGTCAGATCTGAGGACTGAAATTGTTCTGGGTATATCTGAGGTTGGGAAATCCCACAAAGAGGGCAATGGAATTCTAAGTAGTACAGTTTGCTCTGCCATCAAAGTCAGCCCTAAAGTGAAAAAATGAGTCAGGAGCCTCCACCCAATGGCCAATGGCAAGGAAGATGGCTCTGCCATCATGTCAGCCCTGGAGTGAGGCTATGCCTAGGATATAATGTGTCCTACTGATGAAGAAATAGTGGGCTCCTGGCTCCAGAACCTCAGACTCAGATTTTGTTCAGTAACCTTTGTCATGAAGACAAAACAGTGAGTCATTCTTCACTGCCCATGGAAACTGAGCCTGACAAGACATTCTATGTGATAGGATACAGTGTTAGAGATCTGGAAAGTCACATGAGGAAAGGACACTGAACTCAAAACCCAACAAAGTGGTAGGCTCTCAAACTCAAGAAAGTAGACCTGGCTTTTCATCCCATTCTTTTTTTTTTAAGACTGTTTTTATTATACTCATTAGAGACACATGAGACATAGACAGAGGGAGAAGCAGGCTCTTCACAGGAAGCCCAATGTGGGACTCGATCCCCAGACCCCAGGATCACACTCTGAGCCCAAGGCAGACACTTAACCCCTGAGCCACCCAGGTGTCCCTCCATCCCATTCTTATATCTGTACCAATTAAGGCATTAGGGAACACCATTAACCACTACTCCTTGCTCATTTCCACTAAAAATTGTGGCACCACTGATCATCCCCAAAACATAATACATTTCTCTTCTTCCCTTACATTTACTACTGTCCCTTCTAGTGTTTCTTGTAACAAAGATTAGTTCATTTGACACAAAATGTCAAAATATCTCCCTGAACTGTGTCTCCAATACTTCCACCTTTACTCTCTTCCCCAGGAAGTTGTTTTGTTCCTTCCATGGCAATTATCTGTCTAAATGTATCTTAATTAATTGTTCTTTTTTATTATCACCTATTAGAATATAAACACTATGAGAGCAGGGAACTCTTCTAAAATTTTGTTACTGTATCTTCACTGTGTGGGAAGTTTTCTTTCAAAAACATTCAAAGGTATTTATCAAACAAGTGACTTAAATCAATTTCCTCAAACACAATATATACAAATTCTATATACACACTTCCAAAAATGCATGTGAGATGGTACCATATTTTCTCTCTAATTTATCTATCCTCAGTTCTTCATTAGTCACCTGAGTCTACTTCTAATTTCTCATTGATTCTGGAAATACTCTCTTCCATCCCATTCTTCCATCCATTCAGTAGTCAGGCCACACCTCCTCTCCTTTCGGCTTCTGTCACCTGAATAGGTGTCATTCCTTCCGTTTCTTCCCCTTCAGCTCCATTGTAGACTCAGTGTGATTTCCAAGACCTGATTCTAAAATACTGTGCGATTTCTGTTGGGTTGTAAGTGCCTAGCATGAGAGATTTAAGAATTAGGTGAAGATGACATTATCTCTGCAGCATGATGAGAAGAAAAGCTAGTATTACATCAAGGAAGACCACAGGGTCATGACATATTGTCAGCCCAATTTTCAAGAGTGGTCCTAACACTTCAAAAGGAGTAATTCACAAATAAGAACACAGATTAGTCAAAAGAAAAGAAGCATTTTTATTGAGAATAAGCTTTTGCCCAACTGTGGGATGTTAGGATCACTGGCACAGTCACCACACAGAATCCAGATTAAGGGAACAAAGACCAACATTTGGGAAATAGGCAGATGATGCCACACAGCCCAGAGCCACAATATGCCATCTTAACAAATCTTCATTGGATGACAAAGGCTATGTCAAGTATGCAGTTTCCTGGATGTAGAAATCTTGGGGTATGGATCCTTAAGTCAATTGTCTCTTCAGATGTCATTTCAGAAGATAATGGTGCTTGGAGAGTGGTGATCTAGCAGCAAGAAGAATAACATCTTCTGTAGCAAAGGGGCCGGTAGCCCCAGCAGCCAGAGCCATATCCACATCCATAGCAGGAGCCTCTTCCACAGCCCCATCCTGAGCCATAGCCACAGCCACAGCCACAGCCATAACCTGAGCCATAGCCACAGCCACAGCCATAGCCTGAGCCATAGCCACAGCCACAGCCATAGCCTGAGCCATAGCCACAGCCACAGCCATAGCCTGAGCCATAGCCACAGCCATAACCTGAGCCATAGCCACAGCCATAGCCAGTTCTATAACCACAGCCAGAATAGGGGCCACATCCATAGCCATAGCCACATCCGCAGCCATAGCCACAGGAGTTCCCGTAGTTGCAACACATGTTGTCAGGAGAAGAGAATTTGGGTGGTTTGCAAGTGGATGTGGTGAAGTGTGGTCTCTGCTTCTCTTGGACCTTTATATACTGTTGGTAATTGGCAGAGCATGCCATTCATTCCCTGACACAACCAACAAATATGAAAGCAACTTTCATGTGACAGTCACTGTCAACAATTAATAATGTCTTGGGAAAAATCAGCTCACTTATTGCAATCTCCTCTTTTATTTATTTTCCCCCCATTTCATTTAAGGAGCCACATTTTAATTCACTCTGCCATAAAACTATCTCAGTGAATCATGTGCTCTATACACCCCTGATACCGAACTTCTCAACCCACTATCATTTATAATACCTAATATAAAAAGGATGAGGGGAATATAGGAAAATTTTGCCAATCTTGATCCCTGCTCTTCCTAAAACGTCTACCTCTGCACATAGGGAAAGAAATACTCCCTTCTGTAATCATTGCAACTTCCTGCCA